TGGGAAAAGGCTTATCAAGCAAATGGACCTAAGAAACAAGCACGTGTGGCCATTCTAATTTCTAACAAAGTTGACTTCAAACTTAAACCAATCAGAAGAGATGGAGAGGGACATTTTATACTCATAACAGGAACAATTCATCAGGAAGAAGTTTCAATCCTGAATATCTATGCCCCGAATATAAAAGCACCCGCGTACGTAAAAGAAACATTGCTAAAACTCAAGGCAGACATCAAACCGCTCACACTAATAGTAGGAGACTTCAACACTCCTCTCTCACCAATGGACAGGTCAATCAGACAGAAACCTAACAGAGAAATTAGAGAATTAATGGAGGTAATGAAGCAAATGGACTTAACAGACATCTATAGATTATTCCACCCAAAGAGGAAAGAATATACCTTCTTCTCTGCAGCTCATGGAATCTTCTCGAAAATTGACCACATACTTGGTAACAAAGATAACTTACACAGTTACAAAAAAAATATTAGTAACCACCTGTGTCTTATCAGATCACCGTGGATTAAAGTTAGAATTCAACAACAATGCTACCCCCAGAAAGCCGACAAACTCATGGAAACTGAACAGTCAACTACTGAACCATACCTGGATTAAGGAAGAAATAAAGAAAGAAATTAAAGTCTTCCTTGAATTCAATGAAAATAAAGAAACAACATACTCGAACTTATGGGACACTATGAAAGCAGTCCTGAGAGGAAAGTTCATAGCACTAAGTGCCCACCGAAAGAAAACAGAGAAAGCACATATTGGAGACTTAACAGCCCACTTGAAAGCTCTAGAAAAAAAAGAAACAGACTCACCTAGGAGGAGTAGACGACTGGAAATAATCAAATCGAGGGCTGAAATCAACAAAATAGAAACACAGAAAACAATCCAAAGAATCAATGAAACAAAAAGCTGGTTCCTGGAGAAAATCAACAAGATTGATAAACCCCTAGTCAAACTAATCAAACGACAGAGAGAGAACAGGAAAAGTCAGTCCACTCTCGCCATAGATCTTCAATATAGTGCTTGAAGTTCTAGCAATAGCAATAAGACAACATAATGGGATCAAGGGGATTCGAATTGGAAAGGAAGAAGTTAAACTTTCGTTATTTGCAGATGATATGATAGTGTACATAATCGACCCCAAAACTTCACCAAAGAACTTTTACAGCTGATAAACAGCTTTAGTAATGTGGCAGGATACAAGATCAACTCCAAAAAATCAGTTGCCCTCTTATACACAAAGGATATGGAAGCAGAGAGGGAAATCAGAGAAGCTTCACCATTCACGATAGCCACAAACAGCATAAAATATCTTGGGGTAAATCTAACCAAGGAAGTGAAAGATCTATTGGACAAGAACTTTAAGGCATTGAAGAAAGAAATTGAGGAGGATACCAAAAAATGAATGGACCTCCCTTGCTCTTGGATTGGGAGGATCAACATATTAAAAATGGCAATTCTACCTAAGGCAATTTATAGATTCAATGCAATCCCCATCAAGATCCCAACAAAATTCTTCCCAGATCTGGTGAAGACAATAATCAACTTTATATGGAAAAACAAAAAACCCAGGATAGCCAGAACAATCCTATACAATAAAGGATCTTCTGGAGGCATTACCATCCCTGACTTCAAACTCTATTACATAGCTACAGTAATGAAAACAGTGTGGTACTGGCATAAAAACAGAGAAGTCGACCAATGGAATTGTATAGAAGACCCGGATTTTATCCCACAAACCTATGAACACCTCATTTTCGATGAAGGAGCTAAAAGTATACAATGGAAGAAAGAAAGCATCTTCAACAAATGGTGCTGGCACAACTGGTTGTCAACCTGTAGAAGAATGAAAATAGACCCTTATCTATCACCGTGCACAAAACTTAAGTCCAAATGGATTAAAGACCTCAATATCAGCCCAAACACACTGAACCTGATAGAAGAGAAAGTGGGAAATAGCCTACAACAGATGGGCACAGGAGATCGCTTCCTATGTATAATCCCAGAAGCACAGACATTAAGGGCAACATTGAATAAATGGGACCTACTTAAACTGAGAAGCTTCTGTAAAGCAAAGGACATGGTCATTAAGACACAAAGGCAACCTACTGACTGGGAGAAGATCTTCACCAACCCCGCAACAGACAAAGGTCTGATCTCCAAAATATATAGAGAACTCAAGAAACTAGACTTTAAAATGCTAATTAACCCAATTAAAAAATCGGGCACTGATCTGAACATAGAATTCTCAACAGAAGAAGTTCAAATGGCCAAAAGACACTTAAGGTCGTGCTCAACTTCCTTACCAATCAGGGAAATGCAAATCAAAACAACTTTGAGATATCATCTTACACCTGTCAGAATGGCTAAAGTCAAAAACACCAAGGATAACCTTTGCTGGAGAGGCTGTGGAGGAATGGGTACCCTCATCCATTGCTGGTGGGAATGCAATCTTGTGCAACCACTGTGGAAGTCAGTGTTTCGGTTTCTCAGGAAATTCGGGATCACCTTACCCCTGGACCCAGCAATACCACTCTTGGGAATATACCCAAGAGAGGCTCTATCAAATGACAAAAGCATTTGTTCAACTATGTTCATAGCAGTATTATTTGTAATAGCCAGAACCTGGAAACAACCTAGATGCCCTTCAATGGAAGAATGGATGAAGAAAGTATGGAATATATACACGCTAGAGTACTACGCTGCGGTAAAAAACAATGACTTCTCGAATTTTGCATGCAAATGGATGGAAATAGAAAACACTATCCTGAGTGAGGTATCCCAGACCCAAAAAGATGAACATGGGATGTACTCACTCGTAATTGGTTTCTAGCCATAAATAAGGGTCACAGAGTCTACAATAGGTGAACCTAAAGAAGCGAAGTAAGAAGGTGAACCCAAGGAAAAACATATAGTTATCCTCTTGGCTAAGGGAAGTAGACCAAATTTCCGGGGAGAAAATGGGATCTTGGGGGTGGGGTGGGATGGGGGTAAGGGGAGATGGGGAGAGAAAAGGTAGAAGGGAAGGAGGGGGGACCTGGGGAAACAGGAGAATTGGGATAAAGGAAAGGTGGATAGGGGAGCACGGAACCACAATTCTTAGTTAAGGGAGCCACTTTAGTGTGGGCAAGAGACTTGACCCTAGAGGGGCTCCCTAGTGCCCAAGATGAGGTTCCCAGTTAGTTCCTTGGGCAGCTGAGGATTGGGAACCTGAAATGACCCTATCCTAGAGCAATACTGACGAATATCTTGCAGATCATCATAGAATCTTTATCTGGTGATGGATAGAGATAGAGACAGAGACCCACACAGGAGCACTGGACTGAGCTCCCAAGGTCCCAAGGAGGAGCAGAAGGAGGGAGAACATGAGCAATGAATTCGGGACCACGAGGGGTGCATCCACCCACTGAGACAGTGGAGCTGATCTACGGGGAGCTCACCAAGGCCAGCTGGACTGTGACTGAAAAAGCATGGGATAAAACCGGACTCTCTGAACATGGCGAACAATGAGGGCTGATGAGACACCAAGGACAATGGCAGGGGGTTTTGATCCTACTTAATGTGCTGGCTTTGTGGGAGCCTAGCCAGTTTGGATGTTCACCTTCCTAGATATGGACGGAGGGGGGAGGACCTAGGACTTAACACAGGGCAGGGAACCCGGACTGCTCTTTGGACTGGAGAGTGAGGGGGAGAGGAGTGGGGGTAGGGGGAGAAGGGTGGGAGGAGGGGGAGAAGGGTGGGAGAAGGGGAAGGGAAATGGGAGGCTGGGAGGAGGTGGAAACTTGTTTTTTTGTTTATGTTTTTTTTCTTCTTTTCGCAATAAAAAAAATATTAGCAATAAATAGTATAATAAGAAAGAAGGAAAATATGGACGGGATTGTTAATAGACTAGTGTTCCAACACAGAAAAGCAGAGAGTGAATTAAAAACACTAATATCCAGAAATGTGAGATACTTATATATCCAGAAGAAAGAAGAATGAAAACTAAACAGAAGTAATTACTAAAATTTTTCATATGGTTTTAAGCAAGATAAAGCAGTGCCTTGTTGCTAAATGTTAGGTGGCAATCCTAGAAATAACAGATCAAAATTTTTAAATAAAAATCTTTGAGTACCAGGATTAAGTTTTGCACCGTGTTATTAGTTCTTTTTATTTCACAAAAATATTACTTTTATTTATCTATAGTGTATATACACTTATTGAATTCCCAGTTTCATGGTATTTTTAACATAGTGCTTACATATCTGTTTAGACACCTTCTCTTTATGTGGCTTTGGAAATGTTGAAATATAGGCTCAAGATAAAGGAGGAATAATGTAAACATACACATACACTTGCACAAAGGAATGAAAGAAGAAAAGAAGGGAGGGAGTCGGGAAGATTAAAGATGCATACAAAGTCAGATAATCTGAGTTAAATCCCAATAACATAAATGGTGGAAGTAAATATGCACTTCCATATATTCCATGTTTTCTGTTTTCCATACATAATAAGTTAATAAATAACAAAAAATGAAAGTAAATTATCAACATTAGATAATTGGTCCTTTCTAAAATCTTACTTGTGAATAAAAATTCTTACTCCCATGACAGGAAAAGAAACAATTTTTGAGATCTAAATCAAAACAAAACTTTAATACTCATGTATATCTTAATACTTAAACAAATATTTCATTGATTTTTATTTTACAAATGAAGGGAAACAAGTTTAAAGTTTAGTAACTTGCATGGAACTTGAACATAAATAGCTTATTTCACTCTATTCTTCTGACCAGCTATAATGAGTAACTTAATAATTTTGCTCCAGATTCATAATTATCTTTAAACAAAGTAAACACAAGTCTTCAGCATACATAATATTTAAGTTTTTCCTGTTACTAACAGCTAGTCATTTTTCTTAAGTACAATGAGACAACTTTTTTGGTTAAAAGTTCAGAACTATTATCCAATTGTTAATTTTCTACAATACCCTAAAATATACTATAATCATACCTGGTTCTTTTGGAAAGAAGACTGAGACTGCCCATCAGGAGCCTGCCCCTGGTTTTCATTCCCTCCTACTGGAGAGCCACGAGTCATGACTGTCATGATCACCAAAGAATAGACCTTCGCTAGTTTTGTCTGTTTATGGAGTTGTCCTAAGAGAAGAAATTATAATCTACTCATAAGAGAGAAAGTACTAGCATGTGCCAATCCCTAAAATCTCTAATTCAAGAGCAAACAATACTGCAGAAATTACTTTAATAACCTAAAAGTATAATAAAAATTGAAAAGACAAATAGGAAATCAACCCAACTTTAATGACCACTCCAAATTTAAGCAAGATCTCTATAATTTGTAATAGAGGATTATAAAAATGAAACAAAAGTAATAAAAATTTTAACAATATTTTTACTCACCCTGATAAACTGTTTTACCGAGAAAACAAGACTTGCCAGTTAAGTAAAGGCCAAAGTATAACACTAGAATCCTCAAAGGATTACATTATGACGAGAGATTTTGCAAAATAACACAATAGCATTGATTAAAACGTTTAAAATATTTAGGACAGTGATTTTTAACCAAAGCTATAAATCTGAAAATAAAATTTCCTGTCTTTTCTAAGGATGCTAATAAAGCCTGACTTTGGCCTGGACAGGGCTAGACCACCTTTCTAAGGTTAGAACTTGGTATTTGTTAAATATCTCTAAGAAAATAATGTGCCAATTAGTGAAAACCAAGTTTCACACGAAAAGCCAAGTGTTGGAAGTCAAATAAAGTAAAAAGGAATAATCTGACATTTACCTGAAATAATCACAAGAACCATCTCCAGCTAAAAGAAGTCATGATCACAAAAAGCAAGCTAGATAGAGTGAAAACTGAATAACCAAAGGAATTGTTTGATCATATTGGTAATTGATCAGTTACCAATACATAGGTAAAATAATTTAATAATAACGGTTTTATAATAATAATGTAGTCTTTCTCGTGGATTAATTTTTCTCGTATACAAAATGGTTATATTTTTTATGAATAAAGAGGCACAAAAGGAAAAAAGCTCATTTTCATGTACTTAAGTAAGCAAAATATAATCATAACCTAGAGTCTAACTTTAGAATAAGTTAAAGTACTATAAACTTTAGTAATAACCATAAACAAAGGAAACCAATAAAAGTTAATTTTTGAAAAATTTACTAAATTTTTTAGATATTAAACATCATTATGGTGAGGACAAACATGAATTTTTCTTAAATACAAAATGACAATTGTCAAGAAATAATGTGACCTATCACCATATACAAAACTAACGTCCAAATGGATCAAAGACCTCAACATAAAGCCAGCAACACTGAACCTTACAGAAGAGAAAGTGGGGAATACACTTGAATACATTGGCACACAGCACCACTTTCTAAATATAAGTCCAGAAGCACAGACACTGTGAAAAACAATTAATAAAAGAGACCTCCTGAAACAAAAAAGCTTCTGTAGAGCAAAGGACACAGTCAACAAGACAAAACAAAGGTCTACAGAATGGGAAAAGATCTTCACTAACCTCACATCACACAGAGGTCTGATCTCCAAAATGTACAAAGAACTTGAGAAATTGGACACCAAAAGATCACAAAATCCAATAAAAAAATGGAGTACAGACCTAAACAAAGAACTCTCAACAGAGGAATCTAAAATAACCGAAAGACACTTAAGGTCATGCTCAACCTCCTTAGCAATCAGGGAAATGCAAATCAAAACAACTCTGAGATACCATCTTACACCTGTCAGAGTGGCTAGAATCAAAAACATCAATGATAGCCTTTGCTGGAGAGGTTGTGGAGGAAGGGTTACCCTCATCCATTGCTGGTGGGAATGCCAACTTGTGCAACCACTATGGAAAGCAGTGTGGTGGTTTTTCAGAAAATTAGGGAACAAACCTCCTTCAAGACCCAGTAATACCACCTTGGGGTATTTATCCAAAGGATGCTCAATCATGCCACAAGAACTTGTGCTCAACTATGTTCATAGCAGCTTTGTTTGTCATAGCCAGAACCTCGAAACAACCTAAATGCCCCTCGACCGAAGAATGGATAAGGAAAATGTGGTACATTTTACATAATAGAGAACTACACAGCAGAAAAAAATTACAACAGCTTGAATTTTGCAGGAAAATGGATGGAGCTAGAAAACATTAGTTTGAGTGAGATAACCCAGACACAGAAAGATATTTATCACACGTACTCACTTATAGGTGGGTTTTAAACATAAAGCAAAGAAAAGCCAGGCTATAAACCGCAACCCCAGAGAACTTAGATAACAATGAAAACACTAAGAGAGATTTACATAGATCTAATCTACATGGGAAGTAGAAAGTAGAAAAAGATAAGATCTCCTGAATAAACTGGGAACATAAAGACCTGGGGAGAGAGTTTAAGGAGGGGGGGGGGTTGGAAAGAAACAGGTAGGGGAGCAGAGAAAAATGTAGAGCTCAATAAATATCAATAAAAAAATAAAACAAAACACCCAAAAGGAAATAATGTGATCCTAGACAAGTAATAGACCAAAAGTGGAAAAGAAAAAAAAAGATAAAATATGCACACTTATGTATCCATTATCTCCATAGTGATGATAATATCTTATAAATTCTTACTTTTGTTGTCTATGAGTAATCATTTAAACAGCCTATGTAAAAATTTCATGACAATCTTATTGTTTTCTTATGGTTTGTCTTGCTAATAAAACTAAAAAGTTTTCATTAAATTAAGGCAGGGTAACTTTCTGTTATTAGTTTAAATCTGTTCTATAGATCGAGAGCAACGTATCTGTCTGTTTTGGTACTGGCTTCGTATCTGTCTGTTTTGGTACTGGCTTAAATCTGTTCTATAGAAAGACTGAGGAACATACCTATTTTCTTGCAAGAAGGTCATTGTTAAAAAATGGCTTTCCCTTTTCATTATTTATATTATGTATAAACTGCATTGAACCAGGGTGATTAAATTCAATCAGGGTAGTTTTTGTTTGTTTTTTCCCATTTTTCAAGAGAGGATTTCTCAGTGTAACAGCCCTGGCTGTGCTGGACCTCCCTCTGTAGACTAGGCTAGTTTTGGACTCGGAGATCCCCCTGCTTCAGCCTCCTGAATGCTGGGATTAAAGGCCTGTGCCACTGCAGTCCAGTTCTAATTGCTTTTAAATAACAAAAGGAAAGGCTGGAAAGATGGTTCAGCAGTTAAGAGCAGTGGCTGTTCTTACAGAAAATCAAGGGTTGATTTCCAGCATCTAAACAGAAGCTTTACTACTGGCCAGTTCCAAGAGAAATACTACTTGTTTCTGTCCTCTGAAAGCACTAGGCATACAGTGTGCACATATATGCAAGCTAAATATTCATCCATATAAAATAAAACAATAAAAAGGTTTATAAAAAATGAAAAAGTTTAAAAACTATGTACTCAAAAGCTTACATTGGGCCAGTATGAAAACATGTACTAAATAAGTATATGAGAAGACGTGCCATGTTACTTATCCATTAATGAGGGGCCTACAAAATAAAACCCCGAATAAGAGTATCCTATACATTCACTAGAAAAAAGTCAAATAAAGACTGAAGGAATTGAAAGCTCAACAGCTGCTCATAGGAACAGAAAAGGAAAGTTATCTGGAATACTACTATTTAAATAAACATAAATTCAACTATTATTTAAATTAACATTCAACAATTTTATATCCACAAGCCAATCAAAACATAATTGAAAAACTGATTCTACAAAATTAAGTTCTTTTCTGTCAATTTAATAGTCTCAAAGTAAAAACAACCCAAATGTTAACCAACAAACGAGTAAAGTGGTTTGTGCATATATAATGGAATACCATTAGTATGCCATATAAATACCAATAATTTAAAATGCACACTATTGCATAATATAACATTAATTTCAAAAACAGGGAAAAAGCTATACCCAAACATTACATATTGCCCAGGTGGCAGTGGCACTTGTCTTTAATCCTAGCACTGCAGGAGGCAGAGGCAGACAGAGGCAGGCAGAGCTCTATGAGTTCAAGGCCAGTCTGATCTACATACTTAGTTTCAGGACAGCTAGGTTGTTATACAGAGGAACCCTGTCTCCAAACAAATAAAAAAATAAATAAATAAATAGATAAATATCAGATTATGTGTTTGCTTTATGTGTGACACTTGAAAATTAAAAATTAATGATGAAAAATCACCTATTAGAAATTATCTAGAGCTAGAAGTAGAAAAGAAGCAAACATTATTGTTTGCCTAAGAATGGACTACATTAGATTGAGATAGCTTTCAGAATTCTATAAACACAATTTATTGAAAATCAGATTTGTACATAAAACAGGAAAAATTTTATATGTAAATATCTTTGTGACACTATTAAGTTAATCAGCACAGTTATGAAAACAATATTATTTATCTATAGCCTGTTGCAAAGAAATCAAAATAAGAAACTTTCTTTTTTCTGTTTTTGAGATAGTGTCATGATAGAGTTCACACTAGCTTGCAATTTGCTATGTATCTCACTCTACACTCAAACTCATGGTCCTCAATTTCAGTCCCACAAGTTCTGAGATAGGACTCTCTAAGAAACACACTTTAGAAACAAAACAATATAATGGCTGCTGATAGAGCTGAGTGGGAGAGTGTGCTTAGCATGTTTTCAGGACTGGGTTTGAGGCTCAGCACTGTCAAAAGAAAAAGGTTTCTCGAGTTGAAACAATTATCATTCAGGTTAATCAAAAGTTGATTTGCACAAATGGTAACCTAAGTTTGTGCATTTTGTATATTGTAGTTTAAATTCTACTCTTCTAGAAGCTAAGTATTCATTTATATATCTCATAAAAACCTCTTAAAAATTACTTCTCTAGGGATTGGAGGAAAACAGACTGAACATTCATTCATGTTAATGCTGTTAGGAATAGTAAAGAAAACAAGTAAATCTATCCAACTTATTTTAAAGCCAGAAGCAAACAAAAAAAAATCATTGTGAACTCACCAAATAAATTCAAGCTTTCATTCTTCCCACACTGGAAAACATAAAGTTTAAGATGTTAAAAGTAAAATCACATGACTGATCTTTGAATTAAGAGTAAAC